TCTCTCTCTCTCTCTCTCTCTCTCTCTCTCTCTCTCTCTCTCTCTCTTTTCACTGAACTGATTGTGTGTTCATTTTTTAATACAGGGTGAAAAACTTTCTTGAAAAATGGAGGCCAAGAATGAATGTGTGTGTGGTGGTCATTACCAACCTGGGAATTCTTGACGTGATCCAGATATTATTTTGGCGAAAAATAATTCGACATTGACAGCTTCTCTGTCATCCTTTGTAACTAGTGTGACTGAAGGTGAGAAGGATAGAGCATAGCAGGGGCCCCCAGGGAGCCGAGGACTGCAGGTGTGTGTGTGTGTGTGTGTGTGTGTGTGTGTGTGAGAGAGAGAGAGAGAGAGAGAGAGCCTGTGTGTTTTCTTTTGACTTTAGGGGCAAGAGCAGGTTTTAGAGAGAGGGGACATGAGCTGAGAGTATTCCAGAAGGTGACTCATAACACACAACCCCTAGCATAAGGCCACTGAGAGAAATAAACAAGGTGCTGCCCATTCACAGAGAGCCCAGGAAGCTCCTCAAGGGGGAATCTGTGCCTTGTCACTCTGGGACACCAGCTCACATCCCTCTCCCTCTTACTCATCCTCCTGCCACTCTGGCTTCCTGGTTGAACTTGAACATCAGGAACAAGCACCTTCCTCAGACCCTCTGCACTGGCCATCCTCCTTTCTGCCAGGCACACATGTCTGCAGGTGACTCTGTGGCTTTGTCCCTGTATTCCTGGGGGACTCACATCATGTGTCACCTAAGGGCTGACCTTACCTAACACATAGAAGGAAATGACACTCTCAGTGCCCTTCACCTTAAAAGCTTCAGTTTACCCATCACCATCTGAATTTGGAACGATTATGGCTTTGCCTATGTGCATTGGCTTTACCTTCTTCCACTACTTTCCATAGATTCATGGGACATCCAGTTTTGGGGAAGTGACCCTCATTATCCAGACAGTGCGTAGACCAGCATCATCGCTAATGATATTCCTCAAATACAATAAAGAGTTCTTGTGTAGTGATCTGTAATACAGGGCCACCTGGGGAGAGGCTGAGAGCAAGACAGGACTCCAAATCAGAGAAGGCATGGGATCCCTTAAAGGAGCAAACAATCATAAACAAACTAGAAAAGAGAGTCTTGACTACAAACTTGAAAGATATTATTCTTTTAGTATAGTAGTGCACAACTTTGTCAAATGCTTTCTGTTTTGTTTAATTTTTTGCTAAACACAGCAGATATATGGAGCCCAAGAACAACACACTCAACCCAAAATTTCTTCTTCTGGGAATTTCAGAGGACCCCACATTGCAACCCTTCCTCTTTGGGCTGTTTCTGTCCATGTACCTGGTCACTGTGCTGGGGAACCTGCTCATCATCATGGCCACCATCTCAAACTCCCATCTGCACACACCCATGTACTTCTTCCTCTCCAACCTGTCCTTCGCGGACATCGGCTTGACCACAACGAGCATCCCAAAGATGCTGGTGAACATTCAGACACACAGCAAGGTCATCACCTATGCGGGCTGCCTCACCCAGATATACTTTTTCATACTCTTTTGTGTTTTGGACAACTTCCTTCTGGCTGTGATGGCCTATGACCGATATGTGGCCATCTGTCACCCCTTGCACTACATGGTCATCATGAACCATCAGCTCTGTGGATGGCTGGTGCTGGCTTGCTGGGTGACAACTGTCCTGAATTCTTTGTTAGAAACCTTAATGGCCTTCAGGCTGTCCTTCTGCACAGACGTGGAGATCCCACATTTTATGTGTGAACTCAACCAGCTGGTCCAACTTTCCTGTTCTGACACCTTCCCCAATGTCATGGTGATGTATTTTGCAGCAGTGTTGCTGGCTGGTGGGCCCCTGGCTGGCATCCTATACTCCTACTCCAAGATCGTGTCCTCCATCCATGCAATCTCCTCAGCTCAGGGCAAGTACAAAGCCTTCTCCACCTGTGCGTCTCACCTCTCTGTGGTCTCCCTGTTCTACTCTACACTCCTGGGGGTGTACCTCAGCTCTTCCATTACCCAGAACTCACAATCAACAGCAAGAGCCTCAGTGATGTACAGTGTGGTCACCCCCATGCTGAACCCCTTCATCTACAGTCTGAGGAACAAGGACATCTTGGGAGCCCTGAGGAGAATCTTCCAAGGGAAGCCATAGAGGAGACATTTTCCAAGTCTTGCCTGTGGACATGGGCCTCAGAGACACTGGACCAGACCCTGCAGTTCTTTATCCAGACCACGAAGTAGACTTTGTGCCTTCTGTTAATTTCCTGGAAGTCTGATTCTTTGTTTTTAAACTCTTTATTGTGTCCTAACCTCATTGAAAAGCTCCCTGCTCTCCCGACACCCAACATGTCTTCCCTCTCAGGTTCCTGCTTTCCCAATGTCCTTTCCCCCAGATCAGACAGTCTGGAGGTTCCCAGGAGTCTCCCATCATGACGAGTTGCACTGGTCCAGTGATAGAGAACCTCACTCAGAACTCAGGCCGTTTCCTTTATTTATGAAGGAGACATTCTAAGCCTTCTGTTTTCCAGTTTTCTGTTCTTGATTCTGGGTGGTTTGGTGCTCTCACTGCTCATGATAATCCAGACTTCTATATACTGGTCGTTGTACAGTACATCATGCCCAGTAGATCAGCACCTCACAGGGGTGCTGTTTTCTTATCTTGGTCCTTTTCTTGTGTGTGCTATATTCTTCTATAGAGAGTACTGGTAAAATTTGCTATCAACGGCACAGAGCCCTCAAAATGAACAGACATATGTGGAACCAAATTCACTGTTTGTAGATCATCTGAAAAGTATTGCTCCTAATTTTCTGGTGAATTAATTTGTACTTTAGTACAGGTTAATCAATATTTTTTTCTGAGTTTTCAAAAATAAATATATGCATTGAATGAGTAATCTATCCAGAAAGGCAAATTTGTGTACATCAATGGACATTTTGTGGTCCCAGATTCAAAGAGGACCTTATATATGTTAAACCTTCAATCATATTCATTAGGCTGAGTTGCACCTTTTCCATGAATTACCAGCTTTTCATGATGTGCATCAGCTCATTGGAAAAAGAAATCTGTGTCATGCATGGAGGGGTCACTTGTGGATCAGAGGACTTGGTGTCATCTTCTGAAGTATTTCTTGCACCGTCTTGCTGTTTCTGCCCAGTTTCCAGTACTGCCTCTGAATATGATTCCTTCTGTTACTCTAAGCAAAAAATTTCCCCATTTTTAAAATTTTCCCATAAACTTTAGCATGCAATGAACATGAATACACATCATCTGTGTATCCATTTTATTGTATTTTCCATCTTGTATTTGATGTTCTCAAGTTTCTTCAGTTTTCATAAGCAAAAGTCAACATGAACAATAACTGGACTCCTGCCCAGATTTGCCCCTGGGAATGAGGACTCACGCCTCAGGGGTCCAAAGGATTCCTGCATTTATCCCCTGTCCTTCCTACTCTGCTGATTACCTGGCATGGAAACTCAACAGTTTCATTCAATTTCATTCTATCATTCCTCGCACATGTGAGACACTGGGTTCCATCCTCAGCACCACATAAAAATAAACAAATAAAAATAAAGATATTAAAAAATGGCAAAAATGTTGTCCTTGTGTTTTGTGCAGCTTGTAATGGTTGAGAGTCTTCATGTAGAAATCAAACATTCCCCTCCAGTTTCCCTATGGAATGAATTCTAGGGAGTGCCAAAAATAATGAAGCAGTGCTTGGGACTGATCAAATAATATATCATTTAGTAGAATTATTGTAAGAAACTAGTTTTCCTCCCTACAGAAAATGCCTTATTATCCTCTCCATCAAAGATGAAAATGTAGTTCAGTGTCTTACACATATTTGTTTTTAAAGCCATTAGTCAAATAAATAGAGTAGGAAGTAGTTAGAAGTCTTTCAGTTGCACTTGATAAAAACACCAACTCAAGTGATTTAAACAAAAGGGGGGTGGGACTTTTGGTTCATGGACCCCAGACATGGTAGTTCTCCAATCTGTGAGGTTTAGACCAGCAGTTAGCAGTCCTCAGCCTCCAGTTCTGTTTTTCTGGAATTCTTTCTACTTTGCCTTCCTCAGTGTGTAGAGCTCAACCTTACCTGGGCTCTCTTTATGATAGCAAACGGACTACAGCAGTTCAGATCCCACACCTCAGAAAGAGATCCTGAGGAATAAAAGAATTTGACTCCCACTACTCTCCCTTCTATTTATTTAGAGTTTCTTAAATTAGTGCTTTGTAGATCTACATAAAGGTGAAATTCACTGTGGTGTACTCATTTATGTACATAGCATAATTTGGTCAATTTCATTGTATCCCATCCTCCTTCCTCCCCCGCAATCTCCCTCCCCTGCGCCATTGATGTCTCTTCTATTTTCAAAGGATTCCCCCCTCTCTTTCCCCTATTTTGGTCTTGTTTCTGCATATGAGAGAGAGCATTCAGCTCTTGACTTTCTGAATCTGGATTATTTCATGTAGCATGAGGTTCTCCAGGCTCATCTATTTTTAATGAAAACTCAAAACCCATTCCTCTGGATTTTTGATGTATAGGTACATTATTGTTATCTGTTGGAGTTTAAAGTAAAGCAACTCTTTGTTGTGAAGAACAGGGTATGCGTGCCTCCAGTGAAGTGCAAGATTGGAATAGGAGTGGGAATGACAAGATAAAGAGAGACCTAAGGAAGGAAAGTGCCTGCTACACACTTGGAGGTTGGGTAGGGGTGCAAAGCAAGGTCGGGAATGGACCTCTGGGAATCCCAGGGGCCCACCCTAGATAACTTTCCAGAATGTTCAACTTGAAGACCTTGGTCACCACGCATCTGTCTTTTGTCCCCAGAGCTTCTGCAGGTGCAAACCACCCTTCTCTGCTCTCCTTTCCTCCGTCCCTTACTGTGACCTGCTGCATCATGAAGATGGTACCATTGAGTCCACATCCCCATAGCTCAGTTAATGAAGACATACGATTCCCAAGCTAAGATGGTCACAAGGGAAAAAAGATTTAGTTCTTCTTAGTCTAGAAATGGTGAGATGGTGGTGAAGGGCAGGAGAGAATATTCATATCTGAGAAGTCTTGACCATACAAAGTAGAATTTCTACACCTTCTACATGCAGTTGGATGCTCACTCTCTTCTCCAAGAAAAAAAATTATTCTGCAGCTGCTGATGGAGGTGCAAGGAATCATCCCTCAGGATTCCCGCAGAGATCTGCTGAATGGAAATTGACACTTGTGTTGGACCCTTAGCAGGAGATGGCCGCCATTCGCTCCCTTTCCTTTGTCCCTGACTTTTTCAACCTGTCAGTGAAGCTCTTCCCATTGAGAGGCAGGGTCTTTTCCTCCACCTTAAATCTTGTCAGGTCGAAGGAGTTTTAATGTTCTTTGTCAAACAGAAAGTGGTGAAAGTGCGAGTGTGCTTCAAGTGCCTGCACGTGTCCCTGCTGCTCCCTGTCGCTGGCTCTACCTCGAGAGTGAATGAAGGCTGGGCTGATGCAGGATGGGGACTGTGTGGACCAGAGCCCCTTTCACCAACTGTGGCTGTCCTTCCAATCTGGGCGATGTCAGCCTAGACAAACTGAGAATCTCACCTGACTCACACCTGACTATACACAGAGGGAGAGACCAGAGACATACCAGGAAAAAGACCCAAAGACCTGTACAACCAAGGCTCCTACGGGTAAAGAAAGAAAAATGCAACCTTAAACCATTTATTTGGGGATGGTTTATTACAAGGAATAAATAGCTCACTGATACAATAATAAATGCACACAGAAGACATTCAGAATACCCTGCTACATCTGAAACTGGATGTTTGTTCTAATACTCAAAGACAATAATCATGACTACCTGACTGGGTACATGTATTTCAAACAACTGTATTAAAAGTGAACACTGATGACTATCATTCCAGGTAACCAGGATATTTGGAAGGACAGGGATAAGTGCAGAGATACCTTGAGCCCCTGAGGCACAAATCCTTGGGCACGATGCAAGTTCTTGTCCATGTTATCCTTTGCTCAAGAGCATTAAAGAAACTTCAGAACACCAAAGACAAGACAGAATAATGCAGAAGTGTGCATATTAAGGTTAACTGCACATTAAAGTTTAAGGAAATTTTTTGAAAAAGGGGAAATATTTTCCTTAGGGTACTGGAAAGAGACATAATTACAGGGAGCACTAAAAACTTCTGGGCAGAAACAGAAAGATGGAGCAAGGAATACTTCAGAAAATGACACCAGGTCCACTGAAGTGACCCTCCATGTATGACATGGATTTCACATTCCAGTGAGCAGACGCACATCATCAAAAGCTGGTAATTCACACAAAATGTACAATGGAAGATAAAATATATGATTAAATATATACATTTAGCATATGTAAGGTATTCTCTGACTTGAAGATCATAAAATGATTAATGAATTAATGAAAGCAAATTTGCCTTTCTGGAGAGACTATACATTTAATGCATGTTTGGTGGCAAATTTCACTAGTTCTTTTTTTTATTTTTTTTTAGTTGTAGATGGACATAATACCTTTATTTTGTTTATTTATTTTTATGTGGTGCTGAGGATTGAACCCAGTGCCTCACACATGCTAGGTAATTGCTCTTTCACTGAGCCACAACCCTAGCCCTCACTAGTAGTTTTTACAAAAGAATATAGCACACACAGGAAAAGGACCAAGATAAGAAAAGAGCACCCAGAGAGCATAATAAATGGGCATGATCTACTGTACAACCACCAGTTGGTAGAAGTCCGGATTATCATGAGCAGTGAGAGCACCAACACACCCAGAATCAAGAACAGAAAACTGGAAAACAGAAGGCTTAGAATGTCTCCTTCATAAATAAAGGAAATGGCCTGAGTTCTGAGTGAGGTTCTCTACCACTGGACAGTGCAACTTGTCACGATGAGAGACTCCTGGGAACCTCCAGACTGTCTGATCTGGGGGAAAGGACATTGGGAAAGCAGGAACCTGAGAGGGAAGACATGTTGGGTGTCAGGAGAGCAGGGAGCTTTCCAATGAGATTAGGACACAATAAAGAGGTTGAAAACAAAGAATCAGACTTCCAGGAAATTAACAGAAGGCACAAAATCTACTTCGTGGTCTGGATAAAGAACTGCAGGGTCTGGTTCAGTGTCTCTGAGGCCTGTGTCCACAGGCAAGATGTGGAAAATATCTCCTCTAGAGCTTCACTTGGAAGAATCTCCTCAGGGCTCCCGTGATGTCCTTGTTCCTCAGACTGTAGATGAAGGGGTTCAGCATGGGGGTGACCACACTGTACATCACTGAGGCTCTTGCTGTTGATTGTGAGTTCTGGGTAATGGAAGAGCTGAGGTACACCCCCAGGAGTGTAGAGTAGAACAGGGAGACCACAGAGAGGTGAGACGCACAGGTGGAGAAGGCTTTGTACTTGCCCTGAGCTGATGAGATTGCACGGACAGAGGACACAATTTTGGAGTAGGAGTACAGGATACCAGCGATGGGGCCACCAGCCAGAAACACCACTGAAAAATACATCACCATGACATTGGGGGAGGTGTCAGAACAAGCCAGTAGAACCACTTGATTAAGTTCACATATAAAGTGTGGAATTTCCAGTTCCATGCAGAAGGACAGTTGCAAAACCATTAAGCTGTGTAACAAGGAATGCAGGGCACTCACAATGCTGGACATCAGAACCATCAACATGCAGAACCTGGGATTCATGACGACCATGTAGTGCAAGGGGTGACAGATGGCCATATACCGGTCATAGGCCATCACAGCCAGGAGGAAGTTATCCAAAACCCCAAAGAGCATGAAAAAGTATATCTGGGTGATGCAGCCTGCATAGGTAATGGCCTTGCTCTGTGTCTGGATGTTCACCAGCATCTTGGGGATGGTGGTGGAGGTGAAGCAGATGTCCACAAAGGACAGGTTGGAGAGGAAGAAATACATGGGCGTGTGCAGGTGGGAGTCTGAGATGGTGGCCAGGATGATGAGCAGGTTCCCCAGCACAGTGACCAGGTACATGGACAGAAACAGCCCAAAGAGGAAGGGTTGCAATGTGGGGTCCTCTGAAATTCCCAGGAGGAGAAATTTTGAAACATGTGAGGTATTCTCTGCCTCCATGAACTTGATGTGACTAACAGATAAAGAGAGAGATTATGTAATATTCACCTGTAAGAATCATATCGAATCTTTAATAGTATACAGACTAATTTGTCTGTTTTCGGATTCAGTTCCCCTTTAAGGGAAGCCTTTCCTTCTCTGGTTTGGAGTTCCTGTCTCCCTCTCAGACTTTCCTCATGAGGTCTTGTACACAAATCACTAAAGACTAACTCTTTCTTGTATTTGAGGAATCTCAAGTAGTGATGAGTGGTCCAGGCACTGTCTAGACTCTGATGAGTCACTCCCAAGAAACTGAATATCCCTTGAATCTAATGAGGGGGAAATCACAGACGAAGGTAAAGCCAATGCATGCAGCAGAGCAATAATCCTTCCACATACAGATGGTGACAGACACACCGTAGCTCTTGAGGAGAAAGGGCACCGGGAGTGTCATTTCCTTCTGGGTGTTCAGACAAGTTCAGCCAATTGGTGACACATGGTGTGAGCCCTCAAGGAAGACAGGGAGAGAGCCACAGAGTCACCTGCAGACATGTGTGTCTGTGGAATGGTGGGTGGCCTGTGCAAAGAGCCTGAGGAAGGGGCTTGTTTCTGATGTTCAAGTTCAACCAGGAAACCAGAGTGGCAGGAGGATGAGCGAGAGGGCAAGGGACGTGAGCTGGTGTCCCAGGGTGACAAGGCACAGATTCCCCTTGAGGAGCCTCCTTTGCTGATGCATGAAGGCATAAGGAATTCCCCTGTCCAGATGTTGTGTTTCATTAAGCTGCATGCCAAGGTGCTCTCTGTGAGTTCGAAGGCACCCCCCATTTATTTCTCTTGGTGGCTTTATGTTCTGGTTTCTGTATGATGTGCTATCTTTTGGAATACATTTGACCTGGATCCCATTTCTCTGAAATCTGCTCTCACCCCTAAAGTCAAATGTGAGCACACACCCACACACACAACACACACACACACAACACACACACACAACACACACACACACAACTCTTGAAAACAGCAATCCATCACCTCTGGGAGTTGTCTTAATACTGTGATCTTCTCACCTCCAATCACACTATTTTAAAGGAATGAATAAAAGAGAAACTGTCAATATTGAATAATTTTTCCCTAAAGCAATGTATGAATGGCACACGAAATCCCAGGTTGAAAATCTCCCCCACACATTTATCCTCAGGTCTCCATTCAGCAAGGAAATTTTCCATCCAGTATCGAAAGAAATATAAACAATCGTCTCAATAAGAAGGAGGGCAGTGGTGGGAGACTCAGAGGGGGAAAATGCTCTGCTAAGCTTAGGTGTCCCTGGAAGACTGTAAAAAAGAAAAAAAAAATCCTTGTTTCTGGCTGCAATCCAACTCCTCGATGAAGATCAGCAGAAACAATAGAATATTGAAACCAGATTTCTCAATCAACAAAGTCAATACAAAGAGTGAATATTTATAGAGAGAAAAATAAACATGAAGGAAGAGTCAACCAAAAAGCAGATATACAAAGAACAGAACAATTATGGCAATTTATATGAAATATTAATAGAGATGTGTTCCTGCACCATTCACAGCTGATCTGAGTCACTGGTGTTTTGCATTTTGAATGGATACATAATAATGGCACCTATTTATACAGTTCAAGGTGACATTTCAACAGATACATACATTGGGCTATGATCAAATCAGGGTGACTTCTGTAGCCACCATGTCCACCAGTTTTCACTGTGATGAGAACATTCAAATGCTCTCTTGGGGTATTTAAAGGTCACAGGCTTGTGGGCTCTGCTCATCCTCCTGGACAAGGGCCCAGCAGAACTCACTGCTCCTGCCTACCTGTGACTGCAGCCCCTGATCCACCTCCCCCATCCCTCCTGCCCTCAATCCCTGGTACCACTTTCTGTCCACTACTCAGGTGAGATCAGCTTTTATAGAGCATACAGTGGAAACCAATTGGCATTTTATTTCCTGTGTAACAAGCCAGATGTGAAGGAGAAATACCTTCACATATGATACAGACAAGAGCATATTAGACAGGACCCGATCTTAATTGTCTCCTGTGCTATCTATTCCTGGACTTTGCAATTGAACTCCACAGATAAATCCCACTATTTTCTCCATGGAGTTCACATGTGAATTCCAGGAATAGATAGCAGAGGAGTCAGTTAAGGAAGGGGCCTGTCTTCATGCAACCCCCGCCACCCTCAGATCTCATTCTGTAATGCCCTGCACACACCTGTGCAATTATATGCCTCCACACAGAACAAGCCCTGCTGGTGGCAAATCCCTGGGGACATCACCTTCTGCACACATTTCTCACACTGCGTTGTGCCCACACATCTCTAGGTAGGTTCAAAGAGCATCGATTTCCCAGCTTTATTCACATTTCAGTTGTCATGGCGATGTGGGAATATGTGTTCATGATAGGGAATAAGAATAAAGAAAATAAGTTTTGAAATAAAAAAAGAATGGGAGTTGGGCACAGTGACTCACACCTGTGATCCCAGGGACTCGGGAGATTGAGTCGAGAGGATCGCAAGTTCAAAGTCAGCTCAGCAACTTCTCAAGACCTTGTCTCAAAATAAAAAAAAATAAAAAAGTGCTGTGGATGTTGCTCCGTGGCTAAGCCATTCTGGGTTAAATCAGGAGTACCAATATAAAAGGAAAGGAAAGGAAAAATGCAGAGGAAATTCAATGTTTCAAAAAAGCTATATTAAACAAAGTTGAATTGAATTTTTAAAATTCAGTGAAAAACTACATATAATACCAAAAATTCCATTCTATCAGGATGGATTAATAAGCAAATTGACAAAAACCATAAGGAATGCAAAGAAGAATATCCCTTGAGTGTTGTGGCGTAAAGCAGGTATTCACGTCCCATTTATGAAACTGAGCAGGGATTCTGAATAACTGGACAGTTAATAGGTGACAAATTGTGTTTAAACAGAGCGGGAAAATCTTAAATCCTAAAATAAAATCTGGCATCAATGTCTATCTAACTCGAGTAAAATGAATTTGGTCCCCTAGTTCACATATGTAAAAACCTCACAGAAATTAACAACCTCCACAGGAGAGTAAATAACATATCTAGGAAAAACATCAATTAAGGGCTGGGGTAGTGGCCCAGTGGTAGAGCACTTGGCTAGCATGTGCTAGGGGCTGGGTTCGATTCTCAGCACCACATAAAAATGAAAAAAATAATAATAATAAAGGTATTGAGTCCAAATTCAACTAAAAAATAAATATATATTTTAAAAAATCATCAACTAAAAAGGTCATTTATGATTCATGAGAGCAGAAGAACAAAATCACCTAGAATAAGTTAATGACTCAGAAGTAAGGAGATTAACATGTTTGATTACATAAGATTTAAAACCTTTTGTGGCCAAAACTATCACTCCAAATCCCAATATAGGGAAAAAATGGAAATTTTAATTAAAATGTGGAGAATGGTAGAAAATGGGATTATCATTACAAATGTCAATCAAAAGGGTGCTTGGGGCTGGGGATGTGGCTCAAGCAGTAACATGCTCACCTGGCATGCACGGGGCACTGGGTTCCATCCTCAGCACCACATAAAATAAAATAAAGATGTTATGTCCACCAAAATCTGACAAATAAATATTTTTAAAAATCTCTCTCTCTCCTCTCTCTCTCTCTCTCTCTCTCTCTCTCTCTCTCTCTCTCTCAAAAATATCATAAATTTTAAAAAGGGTGCTCCAGTTTAGAGATACAAAGTGCCCTCCCTTCACTCTGTGTCCCTCCCCCTAATTGGTTGCAAAGGTCCTGAGACACCTGTTCTACTTACTCTGAAACCACCTGAGCCTGCACGCCCTCTTCTGAGGGGGCTGCCTTTGCCCTCACCCCATGGTCATCAAGGACCTGGCATTACGGAGCTCACTGTTCACTCCTCCTCCCACCATGGTAAACATATCCACCAATGAACTCATCAGACAATGCAGCAAACACCTCAGCAACCTGTCAGGGCTGGGCGAGGCTGGATAGGCTCTCAGGTGAACTTAGGTACCTGTCCTTGGCTTCCAGCCTATCTGATGCCTTCCTGCAGCCCCTGGGCTCTCAAACTCACCTGGGTGGGTTCTGAATGGAAGGTTTCTGGGTGGAGAATCAGATCCCTCCCAGGATGCTGCACCTTGGAGACTGAAGCTCTGTCCCAGACGAGGCCACAGGTGGGTCAAGCCACAGCCCACATGCAGGACCCCGAAGTACAAAATCATATCCCATCCTGACCAAAGTTGTGCACAAGCAAAGGGACAGCAGCAGGGGAGAGATTTACAAATGTGTGTCTGCAAATTAGGCTCCTTTGCCTCTTCTTATCCCAACCCTGAGGTGTCTGCTCCCTGTGCAATATTGTTCCACACCAAAATCAATTTTTTTTTCTTACAGATTCTCTGTTCCCAAGACACCAGGTTAAAAAAAAACAGGTCAATAGGTCTTTACTACTCCCCAAAGAATAACTCTGCCTTCTAGAGAAATAACATCCTAACACTTTATCCCAGTCCTGAAGTCTAGTTTTCTCCAAAGTATATGACAAAGGAACCTATCATGACCATTGCTCCCCCAGGCTTGGCTTATGTTGAGGACACCCCCACCACCAATATGTCCAGAAATTTTCCTGGATAGCAACTAGGGGTTCACTGGGATCCCTTGATAGATGACTGTAACTCCTGCAATCTGTGACTTCATGATGTTTTTTCCAAAACAACAGAAATACCATGTTTATCATCCAAGAGCTAGCTCTTAGTCATGGTTTATAAAACATGGATAATTCAAACACATATCTTTAGATCTTTTTACATGCTATGCCCTGATATTAGCAACTTGTAAGAATGCTCTTATTTAGTTTTCATAAAACCCCACACTTTGTGGTCTCTACTGCTCTGAACTCATTGCACTTTCATACCCAAGGGGCATGGAATGCCTCAGTGATCTGCACTATGAGGATCTCAAAGTCAGAAATTCAGAGGACACAGAAATATTCAGTCCATAATAGAATACAAA